CCGCCCAGCCCACCGCCGCCCTCGCCACCTCCACCCTCACCGCCCCCTCCCTCCCCACCGCCGCCCTCGCCGCCACCACCCTCGCCACCGCCATCACCACCGCCGCCAAGCCCGCCACCGCCCTCACCGCCCCCGCCGAGCCCACCGCCTCCCTCACCGCCGCCACCATCACCGCCGCCTCCATCGCCGCCGCCACCCTCACCACCTCCGCCCTCACCGCCACCACCCTCTCCGCCTCCGCCGTCACCTCCACCGCCGTCGCCGCCTCCGCCGTCACCGCCACCGCCCAGCCCGCCACCTCCTAGTCCACCCCCTCCATCACCGCCCCCTCCGTCACCGCCACCCCCGTCACCTCCGCCGCCCAGCCCACCGCCGCGCCATCACCGCCCCCCCCGTCACCGCCACCACCCTCGCCTCCTCCTCCTTCCCCGCCGCCGCCGTCGCCGCCACCGCCAAGGCGCCGCCGCTTCAACGCTCCGCCGCTGTCGCTCCTTCCCTCGAAGGCAGCGACGTGCAGATCTCTGCCGTTGCAGGCGCACTCTAGACCTTTGGCGTTCATTGCTAGTCACCGCGAGCTTGATCTCTCACTTCCTTTGCTCTGCACTGCACAGGCTTGCTGCCCGAGCACCTACCGCACCAGCGTGCGCTCTGCCCGCTCCACCACTTCCATGCGGCCGAGAGGCCGATCGCGGCGCCAGTCGACGGCAACGAGGCGACTTGCCCCAACTGCTACTGCCTTATCTGCGACGCGCGCGTGTCCGAGTGCCGCCATTGGCGGGGGGGCGACGCCCCTGCGCACTGCAACGCGCACAGCAACAGCGTACTCTGGCGCCAGAAGCGCGTCAATTCGAAGCGGCAGCGCACGCGGGCGGTGCGGGCGGCGCAGGTGTCGGCCAATCAACAGCCCGCGCAGCCTTCTCGGTCTGGTCTGAGGAGCGGGCATGGGTAAGATTATTCGCATGCTGGCGGGCCTCGGCTTATAGCACGAGGGGCGGCATCCTTTAGCTTGTCGCGCTTTTTTTATAGCACCAGCCACCACTAGTACCGGCCGCGTTGGTCCGCGACAGGAGTCAGGAGCTCAGGACACAAGAGGGCGCGTCGGTCAACTCCAGGATTCAGCTCGAGCGAGTCGAGGCGCCGGTGGCGGCATTCCAGAGATTAAAAACCAAAGCCCGGTTTTTCTTCTGCCCACTACTTCTCTCTTCTACCTGGAGAGTGGTGCGACCTGCGACCGCCGGGACCGGGCGGCCGGCCGTCCCGTTCTGATCTCTCGGTTAGTGGGGGGCCGGGGCCGCCCAAGGCCGCGGGCGGGCGGGAAGAACTTACCGCGCCACATGACTAGCTCTAACACGCTGAGCGCCACGAGACGGTCCTACCTGTACTGCTACTCGACCGCAGCCGAGGGCACTGGAGCCTCCATGTCGAGTCTCGAAATCCGTCTACTCGTCGTCGCGCTTGCGCTTGCGGCCCGGCTCCTCCTCCGCTGGGTCGACGCCCGCGCAATGCATGTTGAACTTGACAAGGGCCTCGGGCGCGAGGGCCGCAAAGTCGGCGCGCTTGACCACTGCGCGAGAGGGGGCGGGGGTGTGCGCGAGAGGGGGGGGGTGAGTCGGCGGGCTGTGATCAGTCTTGCGTTGGCCCTCCCTCACCGTTCGCCATGTTTGCCTTCATGAAGGCGAGGCAGTTGCGCTCGAGCTCGGTGGCGCCGTAGACGTGCGCGAGGCTGAGGAGCGAGCACGCCATCTCGCAGGACAGCTTGTCGCACAGCTGCCCCTCCGCCCAGCGCAGCAGCCGCAGCACGCCGTACTTGTGCGCCGCGGCGAGCACCGCCTGCAGCTGCGCGATGCTCTGCTCCGCCGCGCCAGAGGAGGCGCCGCCCGAGGCAGCGGCGCCCGAAGAGGAGGAGGAAGCCTCCGACGAGCCCTCCTCGCGCAGCACCTTTTGCACCTCGTCAAAGTCGTCCGTGTACAGAAAGTGCAGCAGCGCCTTGAGCGCGGGCGGCGGCACGTCCGTCACCTGTCCACAGCTGGAAAACGCATAACGACACCGCTGACATTCGGCCGCCGAGTCCCAACTGTGTCACCGTGAGCGTGCGCGTGGAGCTCTCGCGCATCTCGTGCGAAAAGGCGGCCGCGAAGACGTCGCTGCGCTGGCTGAGGATGATTGTGTGCGCGCTGAAGGCGACCGGCGCAGCCTCGCCGTAGGCGGCCTCGATGGTGACGTCGGAGTGGCGCCCCTCGGTGAGGAGAGAAAGAAAGTCGGCCTGCAGCGTCGGCGGCGGCACCTCGACCGACGGCGGCTTGTGCTCGTAGACGACGTCCGTTTTCCCCACTCGGATCTGCCCGCCGCTGGGGTGCTCCTTCATGACCGCCTCCTCGATGCACACCTTGAAGCAGATCGAGTCGTCCTTGACCCACTCGCTGCCGAGAAGCTCGTCGAAGGACAGGCCAAAGAGCCCCTTCGAGTCACTGTGCAAATCTGGACCGCCAACGAAGCAGGCGGGCTCGTAGCCCTCGCGCGCGGGGACGGCCACCCGCGTCGCCTCCCCCAGCGGCTGGAACTCTAGGCTCGCGTCCCGCACGAAAAAGCGGTAGCACAGGTTGGTCCCGTAGTCGTCCGCCCTGCGAATGAGTGCAAGGGTGCCGCGAGGAATGGAATCGAAGACCTGGTAGTCATCGTCCGCTTCGTGCTCCAGGCTGCCGCCGCGCGGGCTGAAGACGAGCATGTACGTCGAGTAGCCGTCCGTTGGGTCGACCTGGAAGATGTTGCTGTTGGTGCACTCACGCCCCTCCTGCGTGAGCTGCTGCTCGAGCCAGGAGAGGCCCTGCACTTCCCAGACAAACTCGTGCTTCGCCACGTTGCTCGCATACGTCACGGTGGATTTGGCCAGAGCGGAGGAGGAGGGGGGCCGCTTCTGCTCAGTTGGCCGAGGTGCGCCAGGCATGTTCTCCGCTAGGTCGTTGTCGATTGTCCTCCGCTGACCGCGAAGGCTTAAAATTTCGCCGCGGACGGCAGCGTTCGCGTATCTCTCTTTCTCCAACTCGCGCCGCAGCCGCTGCCGCTCCCGCGCTTCTGCGACTTCGTTGTCAGCGGTGGCCCTGTCGTTTATGAGGGTGGCTCGCAACGCACGCTGCTCCTCGATGCGCGCGCGAAGCTCGTGTGCGGTGAGGTGCTCGTCGCCGGCTTCCATCGTCACTTCCGCGCGCTAACGCACTTGAGGCCGCGCCGCGCACAACGGACCGGCCGCAAAAAAAGAAAACCGACGAAGCTGCGCGCGCACACACACACAAAGACGCTGCCCCCTCACACCCCGCACCGCACATCACACACCCCTCGTGGCCGTTCTTCAGTCTGCGGCCAGGGCGCGCTGCACCGGGCCAACCTGCGGCCGTCGCCACGTGCGGCGGGGCTCAACGCGGGGCAGCGCGCACAACCGGCCGCAAAAAAGAAGAATTTTGCTACATCAGACCCTCTCACAGCAGACTCAAAAGCACAGCAGACAACGGCCCCTTATGGGCCGTCGAGAAAAACCCGGGAGTTTGCGAGCTTACCGCTTACCAAATCCACTCCAAGTGCTCCAAGTTTCGCAGCACGCGGCAGGCCGCGCCTCGTGCGCTCTTACAGCGTGGCACTTTCGAGTGCAGTGCTGGTACATCGGGTCGCATCCTTCCTCGAGCGAGGCGAGCGGCTAGGACCAGGTAAGGTAAGGTGAATTTCTCCACACACGCAAAGTGGTGGGGCTCTGCCCGATACAGCCTGGAGATGGCCCCGCGTTGTAGCCCCGGTGCCGGCGCCTCACATCTCAGCATCAAGGGGCCGGTTCCGCCGCACAGTCGAGCAGCAGGGGCTCGGGCACAGCTTTGTCGACAAAGAGGTGGAGCAAAATTTCGCCCAAGAAGCGCCACCGGCGGCACGCCGGGATGTCCGGACCGATCACATTGTTCGGCACCGCGACGGCGAGCCGCCGCGGGTCCACAGGAGGCCTCGGAGCCGCGGCACCACAGGAGGCCTCGGAGCCGCGGCACCGGTCCGCGCCGCCAGCGGGGCGAGAGCACCAGCCTACAACCTGGCCCCCCCCCCCCGCGACATGGCAGTTGCGACGGCGCTTTCACACACACACACACACACACACACACACACTGAGTCGTGTGAAAATTCTTTTATTGCACAAGATTCTTTTATTGTTAGTGCCAGTGCGCGCCAGTCCCGTGCCCAGTGTTGTGCGCGGGAGTTTTCTAAGATTCTTTTATTCGAGAGACTTGTTGTTGAATCCTTTCTTTTATCGTGCTGGCGCGAGGCGATTCGGTTCGTCGCAGTCAGCCAGGAGGGGGCTGGCGCCTTCCTGAATGCGATCCCCATGCGGGATGATATGAAGATGGAGACGTGGGCGATGCGCATTACAGTTCAGCGCCGCCTCGGCCTCCCGCTCGATGTTGCCTGCCAGGCGGTGGAGGCGGGCAAGAAGGCGCCAAACGGCAAGCCGCACGAAGAACTCGGCGATGCCGCAATGGTCAACCCGCGTGCGAAGCACGCGACACGACACAAATACCTGCTCAAACGACTCGTCAAGACCCTTCGCTCAGCGTGGGGCATGCTCATCGAGATGGAGCCGACTGCACACCTCAGTTACAGTAACCCAAAACAACCTGACGTGGCGGCGGCGAACATCGGCAAAGGGCATGTGCGCCTCGTTGGCGACTTGAAACTGACGAGCTCGCTTGCGTGCAAGGGTGGCGATCGGCTCGGCTGGAAGGGGGCTTTTGTCGCCTTCGGCAACACCGAGCGGTCGCTGCTCGACTTAGTGTTAGGGCATGCTGCATGGCCGCGGCCGGGAGGGGGGGGGGAGGGGGGGAGGGAGGCGGAGGATGCAGAGGCGGAGGCGGCGGCGGCGGAAGAGGAGGAGGGGGAGAGTGAGGGGGAGGCGGAGGCGGGGGCACCTGTGACGGCCCGCTACGAGAAGGGCGACTACCGGTTCGCGCGGGAGAAGAATTGCGACCTGCGTTTGCTCGACTTCGAGACGTTCGGCGGCTTCGGGGACGGCGTCCGCAGAATTCTTCGGCAGGCGGCGGACCAGCTGAGTAACAAACTTTCGCACGCTCAGCACCTCGATGAGGTCACATGGACCACCAAGAACTGGCACGGGCTGCAGATGCAGCGCTTGTCTGTCGTTCTCCACACCGCCGTGGCGTGGCAGACGGTGAACGAGCTAGCGTGCGGGGACAGCGGCATTGTGCACGGAGCTAAGTGCATTGCCGTTCTTAACGGAGTCGCTTAGGCGGCTCCGGTGGTGTGCCGGTGATAGTACTAGCACGCGCCAGTTCGCACCTGTGTCGAGCCTGTGTGCTGTGAGACAGAGTTGTTTTGTTTAAATTCTTTTGTTTAAATTCTTTTATTGGGAGTCGGCGTATTTTCGGCCCAGCTGCCCGAGCCCGGTGTCGCGTGCTGCGTCAGTCACTGAAGCAGCCAATGCGGTACGCCTACATCGTTTTGTACCTCCTCGCGCTCGCCGGCTGGAACTATGTCTGCTGGCTACACTACTCGGACGTCTCGAACGACAGCATGATTGCCTCTCGCGCGGTGCGGCCGGCGGCGGCGGCACGGCGGGCGGAGAGCGTGCCGGCTCGCTTTGAAGCCTCCGCTGCCTCCGCCTCCGCCTCCGCCTCCGCCTCCGCTTCTACCGCTACCTCCACCGAGCGCTCCACCTCCGCCGCCTCCGCCGCCGACCCGGCGTGCCCGGGTCGGCGGCCGTACCACACGCTGCTGACGTCGCAGGCGACCACATACCAGGCGTGGCAGTCGCGCATCATGTACTACCACTTCGTCAAGCAGCGCAAGCTCGCCGGTCAGCGCAGCGACAGTGGCCGCCTTCGCGCGGCTGTGAACAGCGTCTCTTCACACCTCCCGCTGTGAATAGGCCCGTGCGGCGAGATGGGCGGCTTCACGCGGCTGGTCGCGTCGGAGGGCGGCAAGCCGGACGGGCTGGAGGCGGAGATGCCGTCCTTCTTCGTGCGGCAGTACACCACCGCCGAGATTGCGCGCTACGGCCACTTCGGAGTCCTCAACCGCCCTTTCTCGGTTGTCCAGTTCGCGGACCGGGGCGGCTTCGAGGCTCTCCAGGAGCAGTTCGTGTACATTGCGGAGACCGACCACGTGCTCATGCGCCCGCTGTAATATTGTTATATTATTATTCTCGCTCAATTATATAATTAGGAGACCGACCACGTGCTCATGCGCCCGCTGCCGAACCTGGCGACACTAGACAAGGCCGCCGCCTTGTCCTTCGGCTACACGCACTGCTGACCCTGACCCCCGACCCTAACCCCAACCCCAACCCCTACCCCTACCCCCAACCCCAACCCTAAACCTCACCCTCGCCCTCACCCCAACTCGGCAGGCCGCCGCTTTCTCCTTCGGCTACATGCACTGCGGCTCCTCGCACCAGGTACCCACTCCCCCCACCCAACCGCAGCCCCTCTGTCGTGTGGTGCTGCCTCTCCCTGAGAACGCTCACACATCACCGTGTGTGCTCCGTGTGCGTGCGTGCCCCGCCATCCGCGCTAGGACGTGCATTCCGTCGTCGAGCACAGTATGTGGACTGACGGTGCGGAGGCAATGCCAACGCTCGCCTAGTGCGCCACTGACTGGCCGATTGTCTGGCCCTCGCACCAGCCTCTGCTCGACAAGTTCGCACCCGGCGTCACGTACTCGGACGTCCAGCCCGTCGGGCCGAGCCCGCTGGTGGTGAGCAAGCCCGTGCTGCGCCGCCTCTCTGACCCTAACCCTCACCCACACCCTGACCCTAACCCACCAACCCTAACCCTTACCCTTATCCTAATCCACACCCTCGCCCTAACCCTCGCCCTAACCCTCACCCTAACCCATACCCTAACCCTAACCCTAACCCTAACCCTAACCCTAGGTGAGCAAGCCCGTGCTCCGCCGCCTCGCGCCGCTCTGGCTCAACCTCTCGCTCGCCCTCAAGCTCGACCCTGTCGCGGACCGCCGCTTCGGGTGGGTGCTCGAGATGCTCTAACCCTAACCCTAACCCTAGCCTTAACCCTAACCCTAACCCTAACCCTAACCTTAACCCTAACCCTAACCCTAACCTTAACCCTAACCCTAACCCTAGCCTTAACCCTAACCCTAACCCTAACCCTAACCCTAACCCTAATATTAATTACTATTAATTAAGGTGGGTGCTCGAGATGTGGGGCTACTCGATCGCCGCCGCCAAGCTGGGGGTTCGCCACGACGTGCTCTCCCACTTCCAGGTCGAGGGCTAGCCCTACCCCTAACCCGAACCCTTACCCTAACGCCACGACGTGCTCTCCCACTTCCAGGTCGAGGGCTAGCCCTACCCCTAACCCGAACCCTTACCCTAACGCCACGACGTGCTCTCCCACTTCCAGGTCGAGGGCTAGCCCTACCCCTACCCCTAACCCGAACCCTTACCCTAACGCCACGACGTGCTCTCCCACTTCCAGGTCGAGGGCTAGCCCTACCCCTACCCCTAACCCGAACCCTTACCCTAACGCCACGACGTGCTCTCCCACTTCCAGGTCGAGGGCTAGCCCTACCCCTACCCCTAACCCGAACCCTTACCCTAACGCCACGACGTGCTCTCCCACTTCCAGGTCGAGGGCTAGCCCTACCCCTAACCCAAACCCGAACCCTTACCCTAACGCCACGACGTGCTCTCCCACTTCCAGGTCGAGGGCTAGCCCTACCCCTACCCCTAACCCGAACCCTTACCCTAACGCCACGACGTGCTCTCCCACTTCCAGGTCGAGGGCGGCGCCGGCATCTCCGCGAGGCGTGATATTCATTCATACTAATTAACATAAATGAATTAAATTAATATCAAAGTAATATAAATTAATATCAGCCGGCATCTCCGCAAGGAGCGCGATAAGCCGAGGCGTCTACATCTTCCACTACACCTACGGGCTCGAGTACACCCTCGCCGGCCGGCCGCAAGGCTCCGCCGTCTAGAAGCGGAAGAGCGTAGCCTCGTAGTCGAACCAGCGCCAAAGGGCAGGCACGGATGCGGCCGTACTCAGCGGTGTTCACTGTATTCGCAGCCCCGGGCCCCGAAAGCGCACAGTGACAGTCAGACATGCAACACGGTATTCATTGCATTCGCAGCCCCTCGTCTGCACGCAGCGCTATGCGCACTCTGCATGCTGCCGCCTTCCCGCCCCGAGGTCGCTGTACTCAGCACGTAGGCTCCGGCACCATCGGCGAGTGGTCGCTGGACAAAAGGCACTACGGGGGAGCCTACCCGCCGAGGCAGATGCAGCCGCCGCCGTCGGGCGCCTCGGACGGCACGGCCTGGCTGCTCGAGGCGCGGGACGACTAGAAGAGGAAGAGCGTGTGTTCTCGCCTCCCAAGTAGCGCTCGAGAGGTCACGCATTCATCCAGCCGTATTCGGCCGTACTCAGCCGCATTTCGGTCGCCCGTCTCCACGCGGCGCTCCGACGCCTCTGCACGAAGCCCTCTTCCCGCCCCGAGGCTGGCGCCTTCACACACGTACCTTAAGGTAGGCGTGGAACGAGGCGAGCGGGAACATCTCCACGTGGCCCGAGTCGCTGGCGATGGGCACTGTCGGATGGAGGCGCCACAGCCTGGCCACATCGCGGCGACATCTCGGCCCCGTCTTGGCCACATCAAGGCTACATCTCGGCTACACGTCGGCTACATCTTGGCTCTCGCCATCTCGGCGGCATCTCCGCGGCATCTCGGCGGCGTCTCGGCCTCGGCGCCATCGCGTTTCAGGTCGCTTGCGCCTCTTCCCAGGCGTGTCAAGGGGCAGGGAATCGATGGCTCTCCCCTCGCCAGCCGCGTGAGTGGCACCGAGTGGAGCTGGGCGGGCATCCCCGGCTTGGCCTTCCACCCGGGCGGCGAGCTCATTACTCCGTGGGGGCAGGCCGGCGTGCGGTCCAGAAAAAGAAAGGCAGCGGGCCGTGTTTCGTCGTAGGCGAGCTCAAGACTCCGTGGGGCAGTGGCGTGTGGGGCGCCGCCCCGAAAGGTGTCACGAGACGGCCCACCGCCGCCAGTTTTCTTTTTTATTGAGCGCGGCATTTTCTTTTGTAGGCGTTGACTTCCACGACAAGGGCTTCTGCGCCTCCGCCGGCGAGGGGTGCCTCTTTGCAGACTTTGGCGGCGCGCACAACTCAGTGCGAGTCGGACAATCAACAGGTAATCAGGTCACGATTGGGTCCCTTGACGCAGGCGCGCTTCACAACGTCCGGTTCGAGGCGGACTTGCGGAGGTTCGACTCCTTCCGGCTGGGCGACGGGACGAATGTGAAGGGCGAGAGGAAGGCGTAGCGCAGGCCCTCGCCCGTGGTTGAGATTGGGTAGCACAGTGATTGCTCGCGGCTGTCCCTGGGTTGCTAACGTAAACCGTACTTGCACACAGTGCTCTCTGGTTAGGGGTTACAACTCTTGTGCGTCTTGATGCCGCGTCCCACTCGATATGTGTTAGTATCTGGCCGTGGGCGCTGTTTTGCTGCACACCTTTTATCCCGAATCCCGCTGTCCACCCACCGAGACCGGCCCACGCCTCCCTACGGTTTGCCTTATATTCTATGCGCCAGTCCCGTGCCCAGTGTTGTGCGAGGGAGTTTTGTTGTAAAATTCTATGCTGAGGGGGGGGAGGAGGAACAACGTATTCCAAAACCTTTCCCAAAATTCCGTAATTTTCAGCTTCCCCAGGGATCCGCCGCTGAAGCGTGCGTCCGCTGAGCCGCGGCGCCACCGGTGTCTGCATGCCCTCCCTGCGAGTCGCATTGGGATCGGCTGCGCTTGCCTCAAACAGGCCGTTGTTCGCTGCGTGGCTGTTCTTCGCTGCACTTCCAGGCGCAGCGCTGGCGACGCCATCCTCCTCGCCATCACAGTGCAAGCAGTTTTGCGAGAGCAAACCGCAGGGCTGGGACACGGTCTGCTCGTGGGACGGCTGCGGCGGTTGCAGCGAATGCTACGTCCCGCCACCGACAGCAAGCCCGCCACAATGCCAGGGCTTCTGTGCAGCAAAGACGCAACCCTGGGACGCCCGGTGCAGCTGGACCGGCTGTGGCGGCTGCACCGAGTGCATGCTTCCTCCGCCGCCCCCTCCCACGCTGGCGTGCAAGGCATTCTGTGAGGACAAGTCCCAGGCGTGGGACACCAAGTGCACCTGGGGGGGCTGCAACGGCTGCTCCGAGTGCTCTTCCCCTGCGCCGGAGTGCAAGCCGTTTTGTGAGGACAAGACCCAGGCCTGGGACACCAAGTGCACCTGGGGGGGCTGCAACGGCTGCTCCGAGTGCTCCTCCCCTGCGCCGGAGTGCAAGCCGTTTTGTGAGGACAAGACGCACGCCTCCTCGCCGAGCACCGCGCCCTCGTCAGCACCCTCCTCCTCGCCGAGCACCGCCCCATCCTCGTCCCCGTCATCGGCTCCCAGCTCCGCCCCCTCCTCCTCGCCGAGCACCGCGCCCTCGTCAGCCCCCTCCTCCTCGCCGAGCTCTGCCCCATCCTCCTCATGTCCAGATTGCGATGGTCCAGGCACGGTGTGCGAGAATCCAAATTGGTGTGCGGCGGCATCAAGCTGCCCTGGTTGGGCGTACAGTTGCACAAGCAACCCTGATTACATGCACGTGTGTTGTAAGGGCACATGCGGGACGTGTCCATCGCCCGAACCCTCGCCCGAACCCTCGCCCGAACCCTCGCCCGAACCCTCGCCCGAACCCTCGCCCGAATCCTCGCCCGAACCCTCGCCCGAACCATCGACCACTTGGGAGTGATGAGGTTGTAGGGGCGAGGCGGACCGGAGGCGGGCGATATGTGCTTTGTTGGTGGAGCAGTTGGAGTGGGAACTAATTCACACCGTGGCGTTGACCGATACTCTGTGAATACGTCCTCCAAACGACCTCCAAAAGGGCTGTATTCTGCCCGTATTCAGTATTCCGACCGTATTCCACACGGTATTTCCCAGAAAGCAGAATACGTATTCCAAACGAGGCGGCCCCACTAAATGGACGTATTCCGTATCCTGTCCTTCTCCTCATTTGGCGTGTCAGTGTTAGGTCCCCACTGCTGCCTGCCCCTCTGACTATGTATATAAGCTACCCGTACCTAAGGGAGAGGGGGTTCTCTCTCTCTCTCTCTCTCTCGCTCGCATGTACGTTATGCCTCTCACGCTCTTGAAGGATAAGGATTGCGTACCGAGGTATAAGTAATACGGCTCTAAGAGTTCAAAAAGCCGACCCTAAAAAAGCGCCACATCCTGCTCTCACCTCAGCGCTCAGGTACCGTGGAGCAAGACTAGGCTGAGCAGGAGGATGGTTTTAGTAAAGTCCTTACTGCGCGCGGCTAGCTGAACTGTGTCGGCTCTCAAAAACGCGCTTGCGTGCCGTTTCTCTGGCGCCTTTTTTGTCACACCAGCCTGCTCGCGGCAGGCTCAGTGCTCAGTCCGACAGACTGAGCTGCGGTGATGGCGCAGTGCTCGTCCTCATCGGACGCCGCGCCCGAGACGCCGATCGCGCCGACGAGGACCCCCGCCGCGTCACGGCACAGCACGCCGCCCGGGAAGGGCGCGAGCGCCTACAGGCCACAGCCCGCCGACGACTGATCAGCGGCCCGTTCGCGCCTTGCGGTGCTCTCTCCTCGCAAGGGCGTGAGGGCGCCTTGTTGGCGGCGGCACCGGCGGTGCCCATGGCGAGGAGCTGCGGCATCTTGGGCCCAATGCCTGAGCGAAGAGGGGAGCCGGGGACTGCACAATAAAATCTTCCCAACTAGCGTTCGACGGCGTTGGTGCGACACAATTCCGCCATCCGAGCCGCGGTCTGGGCCCATCGGCATCTAGGCAGGAGTGCCCTCGTCGTTTTGGTACTTGTCTCGCAGCTCGCGGCTCGAGCAGTGCATGCCGATGCACACCGACGCCTTGGCGTGCGCAAAGTCCGCCGTGAGCCCGCTCGATGCAGGCATCGTCTTCAGCACGAGCACGCGGCCGCCGGCGTCGAGAACGCACACGCTGATCGGGTTAAAGCCGCATGCTGTCGCCTCGCGGAGTGCCACGCTGCTCATCTCATCTGCCGCCTCGAGAGTGAGCATTGGCCGGCCGGGCGCGAGCCACGGGTTGCCAGGAGCCTGCGTTGCATGAAAGACGGAGGGGCTTGCTGCTTGTGCCGCTTGTGGCGTCACTCGCGCCTCCCACGGCGACGGGTTTTTGGCGAGCCAGGCGGCCCGAGCCGTCGCCTCAGCAGATGCCACTGGCACGCCAGCACGGAGGCCTGGGCACGTCAGGACGAGTGCGAGCATATGTGTCGAGAGGCGGTGGAGCTCGAAAAAAATTGTGAGCCCGAGAGCGATATGCCATGTCCGCCTTGCGTTTGTTTTCGTAACATCGAAGGCTAAGCTCAAAAAAAATTTGCGCCGCGAAAAAAAGAATTTCCACAATCACAGCACGCTGGCACGACAACCCTCGGGGCTAGGGCTCTCTTGCTAACCCACGGAGCTAACCCTCGGAGACCCGTGTTTACTTTATGGCCCTTGCCCTGCGAACGCGCGCACCCCCAGGGCTAGGGCTCTCTTGCCCGCAACCCGATGCCAATCATCCGGCCCGCTGGGTGCGCTTCTTAGCTCCCTGGCCCTGGATGTGCGGTTAATGACTGCACTCCAAGTGCTCCAAGGGCAGAATGCACTCCCCCCACACGCTAGCTCGTTCACCGTCTGCCACGCCACGGCGGCGTGGAGGACGACAGACAGACGCTGCATTTGCAGGCCGTGCCCGTTCTTGGTTGTCCATGTGACCTCGTCCAGGTGCTGAGCAAGCGAAAGTTTTCAAAAAAAGAATTTGCGCGGCTTCTCGATTGGGCAGGGGCACAACGACGTTGTCCACTTGCGCCTGCTGCACAGCCAGCTTGACCTTCGACACGCATTGAGCAAAGGAAAGTTGGCCGGCCTCGAAGCACTGCTTGAGCCCATCCAGATAGGATGAGCGCGAGGAGGCCGCTGCCTCCGCCCACGTGAACAGTTCCTGCAAGCAGGCAAGGGGCGGGGGAGGGGGTAACGGGCTGTTGGGGTGAGAATGTCATCACGCAGCAACGCACCTTGGGGCCCTTCTTGTACCACCCATCGTTGTCGGGTGCCGAATCGGCATTCGGCCCAGCCTTGTCGCCGCGAGTGGGTGCGAGGAACTTCGCCTCGGGGCAGAAACGCACCTTGAAGTGCAACTCTTGGTCGGAAGCCGCATTCAGGTAGGGCGCCAGGCTGGGCCCGCAGGGGACGCGGCGGCGGCGGCCCTCTGCAAAGAGCGCCACCTTCTTTCCGAGGAGGCCATCGAGCAGCACCTATGAGGGTGGCATGGGCGACGGGGGGCGTTGGGGGGGAGACGGAGAGGGTGGCTACGGATGTGCCACCACGGAGGCGGAAGGCATGACCTTCGTGTAGAGCGGCTCGAGCACCTCGACCATGTACTTGACCGGGGGCGTCTTGATCGCCTCCGTGCGCTGCTCCTTGCTGGCCAGCACCTATGAGGGTGGCATGGGCGACGGGGGGCGTTGGGGGGGAGACGGAGAGGGTGGCTACGGATGTGCCACCACGGAGGCGGAAGGCATGACCTTCTTGTAGAGCGGCTCGAGCACCTCGACCATTTCCTTGACCGAGGGCCTCTTGATCGCCTCCGTGCGCTGCTCCTTGGCCAGCACCTATGAGGGTGGCATGGGCAACGGGGGGCGTTGGGGGGGAGACGGAGAGGGTGGCTGCGGATGTGCCACCACGGGGGCGGAAGGCATGACCTTCTTGTAGATCGGCTCGAACACCTCGACCATTTCCTTGACCAAGAGATCTTATCGGCCAGGCGGGCAGGGCAGGCGGGCGGGCGGGCGGGCGGGGTCGGGGGAGACTATTCCTAGCGGGGTATCCCCTCCCGACCCACCTTCCGAACGGCCTACACCCTATCCAGGCTCCGAACATAGTTGGTTTACGGGTCAGTCGGGGGACCCACTAGGGGGCGGCCCCTCACACGACTGCCCAGTGGGCCCAGGGATGGCGGTGGCGAGTCACTCCGGAGCAGAATAGAGGTGCGCACGAGGCAGGTGGCATAGCACTGCCCACCCCCTTCCACCCCCCCTCGCCCTGGAGGAGGAGAACCGCCGGCTTCGGGAGGCGGAGGAGGAGAGCAGGCGGCTGCGGGAGGCAGAGGTAGAGAGCAGGCGACGGAGGGAGGTGGATGAGGTGGACAAGAGGGAGAACAGGCTGCCGCAGGATGCAGCAACGTTGGATAGTGGGCTGCTGCGGGAGGAAGACGAGAGCGGGCGGTCGCTGGAGCAGGCGGAGGGGGCGACGGAGGGGGCGACGGAGGGGGCGACGGAGGGGGCGACAAATCGGCGGCAGATGGAGAGCATGCTCGCGCGGATTGCGGAGGTGGAGGCCGAGTCGGCACGCAGGGCGGCCAACGAGGTCAGCGCGCGCGCCGAACTGGCCGCAGAAGCGGTCGCGGCCCGGGAGCGCGCTGACGATGCGGAGCGAGAGCTGCGGCGGGCGCAGGAGCAGGCCCGCGCGGCGGAGCGGTCGAGGGAGGAGCTAGCAGCTCGGTGGGAGGCGTGGAGCTCGCTCTGCGGTGGGCCGGTGCTGGCGACGCCGGCCCCCGATGGGCGGAGGGGAGGCGATCGCGCGAGCGAGCATGATGGGAGAGCCAGAGAGAAGGGAGGGGAGGCGGTGGGCTGGTCCCCACAGGCTTTTCTCGTCAGCTTGAGGAAGTGCATTTGATGGCGTGGGGTGTGCGGACGAGCGTGGAGCGAGTTGTGACTTGTGTAGTATCGTGCTGATCACGATCCCGTGTACTGCTACTGGCTCTTGAAATGTAGTATTAAGGTGAAACTGAACTTCACACTGTTGACACACTCTGATCCGGACAGCCCTCCTCGCGCACAACTTCCCAAAGAGTACTCCAAACCTCGGCCACCCCGCAAACGCATTGCTCACCCGTCGGCCGACGTTCGTCTCGCCGCGTTGAAGGCGCGCCTCGCCTCCATGTACGTGGTGTACCAGACGAGCGAGCCCGTCGACTTTGTGACGAGCCGCGGCAGCAGCCCGCGCCACAGCGACGCCATCCCCTCGGCACGCGACGCCTGTGCGAGCCCTTCGCGAGGTTCGACTCGCGTCGCGGCCGAATCTCGGACAACTCTCAGCCACATCTCGGCGATCGATCTCGGCCATATCTCGCCTTTGCGAGCCCGTGTGCGAGGCCATCGTACGCAAAGGCGCCGACGCCCTTCGCGCCCTGCGGCGCCAGCCGAGGAATGGCTGAGGTACAGCCGAGCGATGGCCGAGATACGGCCGAGATACAGCTGGGGCATGGCCGAGATGCGGCCGAGGCTTGTGTCATCTGCCGAGGTGCGGACGAGATGCGGCCGAGATTCAGCCGAAACATGGCGGAGAGGTGCGCCTGCGTCATCAGCCGCGTGCGGACCACGTCGATCGGCTCCGTCGCGACGGCGGCGAACAAGCCGGTGGCGAAGCCGATGGCGGCGTTAGCTTTAGTGCCGAGTTGCGTCGGGTCGGTCAGTTCGCCTGTTCACAGCTGGTGGTGTGAAGAGACGCCGTTCACGGCGGCGGGCTGCGTCGGGTCGGCTCGCCGCCCGAGAAGCGAAGGGCGAGGGTGCGGAGCTGCTCCAGGCAAGTGAACTGGACGACCTAGCCGAGGCTGGGAAGGGCGTCACTGGTCCTGCCTGGCCGAAGGGGGAGTCGCTCGAGGCAGGTGTGTCGAGGGCCGCGTAGCTGGTGTCGAGTACGACCGTCGCGCGCAGCCCGGCGTACAGCCCGCCTGCAGCAGGGGACTGGCCCTCCCTTCAGTGTATGAACCAGCGCCCTCGTATGAACCAACGCCGTCGCTCCTACCGCTCGGCCGCCGCGATGCTACCTCGGCAACCCCGGGGCATCTCGGGCGATCTCGGAGTAGCAGCCCGCCGCGGCCTCCTCGCCGCGCGTGCGAGAGCGCCTCGCCCGCCGACTGGTGCAGGCCTACGGTCTAGAGGTTTGAGGGTCGGGGTAAAGGGTTGGGTGAAGGGCTCGCGCCTCGCCCGCCGCTGGGCATGCCAAGCTGGATGCGAGACTTGATCACGGAGACGGGCACGCGGACGACGGCGGAGGCGACGCCGGTGAGGACGCCCGCGATCGGCGTCGACTGCAGCGGCGTGCCCTTGAGCGCGCCGCTCGCAACTTCGTACGACGGCATGTACACCAGCGCGATCGGCACCACGCCAACCAGCTGCGGCGTCAGCCCTCGGTAGAGTGAGCGGGCTGCGTTGGCGGCGTCGGCGGCGCGGGAGCGCGGGCGGAGGCTCGGGTCCTTCATCGAGTGCTCCGGTGACCGCGTCGCATCAGCGAGCACGCGGAAGCCAAGCCGCAGGTCAGAGACGATCTGAGGCGACAGCGGAGCGACGCTCAGCGCTCGCTGGGCCGGGCTGGGTGGTGGGAATAGCTGAGTAGCGGGCGCTGCGGACTGCGCCGGTTCTCGCCGGCGGCGAGTCTGCGCTGCTACTGGTGCCTTCTTCTACGAAAGCGGGCACCGGGATGGAGGAGGCGCCGGCCCGCTGCCGCTTTGGGACGACGGTGTACTGCAGCCGGGTCTTGATCGTGTCGAGCGGGTGGAGCAGCGCCTTGGTGGTGAGCTCCGCGGCGATACTACCGGCAAAAACGTCCGCCTTGACCGCCATTCGTCGTCGTTTCCATTCGTGTAGGCTGCTGTCCACCCGACGACGACCGCAGCGGTCGGGCCCCACAGAATTTTCCAAAAAAAGAATTCGTTGTCCCTCACCGCGTTCAATCAAGGCAAGGGGTGAGGAAGTGGCCGCCGTTGTTCGCGCTCGTATCTGAGTATCCGTGTACCGTGGTAGGACAGCGTGTGCAAACTCCAAAGCGAATTCAATCAAGCAAAAGTCTCCGGTAACGTTGGGGAGAGGCACGAAGAGCAAGAGGGCGGCGACTTCAACCGACTATCGCGCAATCCTCACTCTAACTTTCGTCACCTGCTGCTCCACCGGCACCGACGCCCCAGAGACGGCCGCTAGGCCGCTTCTCGCCTCCGGAGGCGAACGCAGAGCTTCGGCTGCTCATCTTGCCAAACTAGACCAGCGGGCTTTCTAGCGGCCGATGCCGCCGTTGCACGAGCACGTCGTATCGTAGCACGAGACCTCGGGCGTGTACGTGTCCGGGGGCTCGCCAGAGGGCGAGCACTCGTAATACGTCTTGCAATCAATCACGACATCGATGCCTTCATTCGGATCCGGAGATCCGCTGCAGGAGTCGTATTCGACTCCGCAGGAGTCGCACACGTTGTCCTCTGGGTCACACAGGAACTTCCCGTCGGCCGTCGTGCCGCAAGGAAGCGCTGCAGCAAAGCTGGAGCCCACGAGGCAGCCGCGGAGGTCGCGCAAGAACCGGGGAATGCCGAAGACGGGGCTCTGGACGAGGCGTGCGACGGCGGTGGCAATGCAGGCAACGGGGCCCTCGATGACTCCGCACGTGGAGTAGTAGGTGAGGCACACGACGTTTGGGGGGAAGGACGCTCCGATGATGGCTTGGATGGTCTCCGAGAGCGTGTCAATCGGCGCGTCGCACCCATCGGGCTTTGCGCAGACCGGAGGGTGTGGATGGGACGAGAAGAGCGGCTTGCGCGCGAGCGTATCGGCGGGCGCGGCCGCGACGAAGGCGACGAGAGCGGCGGCGACGATGGTCTTCATATATATATATTTCGGTCAACAGCGGGCACAAGTCCGGTTGGTCCCCGCCGGGTTTGATCATCAACGCCGGTGAGTCGCGCCGAAACGAACTGTGCGTGCAACCAAGCGGACTGAAAAAAGACTGGCTATTTCGCGTCGGGAGCAGCAGACACCGATTGCCCCAGAGCCAGACCCCTGAATACTCGAGAGTGAAAAGAATTTTACAACAAAACTCCCTCGCACAACACTTGGCCGCTTTGTGTATCTCGAGACCTCGAGAGAAGGCCGCCCGAGGGCCCAAGTCAAGAATTGGCTTTTTTTGGCGGGCAAGGGCCCAAGTCAAGAATTGGCTTTTTTGGCGGGCAAGCACAACACTGGGCACGGGACTGGCGCGCACTGGCACTAACAAGTGAAAAGAAAGGAAGTTGGCCTGCACAAGCTTTTCCGGCAAACAAAAAGGAAAACAGAGGGTCCCCAGCACTTTGCGTTTCCGGAAATTTCCAGGGCATTCGAACCCGCTCATAGATGGGCCCAGGTAGGAGGCTCCACGCCACCTGAATCGCGTCGTGCCACCTGAAAGCCACAAAATGCCGGATTTTGCACGAGACACACGCGGAAAGCGCCACGTGCCTCCACGAGTCCTTTGCAGCTTTTTGCACAAAATGCAGGTGGCTTTAGCCACTCACCCGGCGTGAGGGGCGGGAGCGCAGCCATTCCAACGGCTGGGAAAGTTTCTGAACGGCCGTGCATGCGCCTGCATGCCGGCTTACTAAGAAGGTCCCTCGCTCCGGCTCCTCTCTCGGAAGACGCGCGCCGGCTGCAGTCGCGCTTCCGAGCCGACTCCGCCCCTCTCTCCACCCGGCCATTCCAACGGCCAGGCCGCTCGCTTAAGGCTGATTGGCTAGACGAGCGGCCTACCTCCATGGGGCTGTTGGCACGGGGGGAGGTGTCAATCACGCTCCCGGGACGCCGGAGAGATCGGGTTGGTCTCCCCCGCCCGCCTTCAGCCCTGACCCGACGGGGACGCCATCACCCTCGCCCAGGGATCTACAACGCTGTCTTAAGGTCCGACAGGTTCGGCACCGGGCACCGCCTCGGTATACAAAATGCGCCTGCGGGCGGACCCTCACAGATCACAGATCACCTCGAGAACCTCGAGAGAGGTTGTTCACGCAAAAGGCAGGCGGCACGATTGGCGCGAGAGGCAGGCGCGGAACCTCGCGAATCACCGTCTTGCGCCTTTCGGTGCGCCAGGGCGGCCTGAGGGATGAACACCGCTGAGCCACGACAGCGCGTGCCTCGTGTCGCTTGGAATGACGCGAGCGTGACCGGCCACCTTGCTCGCGGTGAGCCCATCGTGCTCGTTGGTGGCTGCCCGCTCATAGCAGCTGTTGTCGGTCGCTGGAGCTTTGACTCTCTCTCCGCAGCATTCGGCGAACGCGACTGCAGCGTGCACGTTTCGCGTACCGAGAACTTTGCTCGGCTCTACGGACACGGCCTCGGGCTTGGCGGCGTGCGACAGATGCCGTTTCGCTCCTTCGTCGAAGCGGCTTCTCAGCGTGGCACGGGGAGTCACGAGACAGACTTGAACTACTACCTCCAGGTGCCACTAGTTAGTCCAGGTGCCGCCCAGTCGACTCCAGTGGCGCTCGAGGCCGAGCTGCGCGACCTGGGTTGGGCGTGGCTGCACTCGGCATGTGAGGCGGCCGCGTCGCAGCCGCTGCAGGCCCTGCAGCTGTGGGCGGGCCATGGAGTCGGCATGACGCCCTGCCATTTCGAGTACGCGCCCGCCCGGGAGCTCCGCCATGCACGCAGCGCTCAGCCCCGTGCCTCCGCCGCGAGGCCGGCCAGTCGGTGACCGGCACCGCCTCGCCGTGCCACGCAGCGCGATGGACAACTTTCTTGCGCAGCTGGAGGGGAGGAAGAGCGTGCTCGTGTACCCGCCGCACTGCTCGTTTGATCTGTACCCGTACCCGACGGGCCATCCGGCGGACAACTTCGCGATGGCCGACCCGGAACGACCAGACCTTGGGCGCTGGCCCGGCCTGGCGAGGGCGACAGCGCTCGAGGCCGAGCTCGCCCCGGGCGACGTGTTGTGGCTGCCGCGGTACCACTGGCACCTGGTTCGCCAGGTGCCAGACGCGTGCGGAGGCGAGCACCCTCCGCCCTTCTCCCCCAACCTCTCCCTCAGCGCGTGGGTGGGCGGCAAGGGCACCGAGGCATTCCGTGCCGAGGCGGACGCGGCGTACGCGGCGGCCAAGCTGGCCGAAGCGGCTGAGGCGGTGTGTGAAGGAGAGCAGGAGCAGGGGGAGCAGGAGCAGGAGCAGGCGGCGGCGGCGGCGAAAGGAGGCGGCGAAGGGACCGGCGAGCGGGATGACAAGGTGGTCGAAGCGGAGGACATCGAGTTTGCGGCGGAGTGCGCCTCGCATCGTGCTGCGGCGCTGCGTGCCTTCCACGCCGCCCGGCTGGTCGAGACCATCGCGGCGAAACTGCTGCGCTCGCAGGTCGAGGGTGGCGCCTTTCTCACCGCCCTCGCCGCCGGTGCCGACGCTTCGTGGCCTGCAGGCTCGAGTGCGCGGCGTGCAGCGCGGCGCATCCGGCTACAGCTGGCGCACCTGCTTGGTTCTGAAGCGAACGCGGCGGCGCTGCTGCGCGCGACGACGCAGCATGGGCGCCTCGCGGGCGCAGCACCGCCTGTGGACGGTCCCGTCGTGTCAGCCGAGCACGGGGACTTAGGTGAGTACTGGGGTTAGTTGGGCCCAGTGCGAGTAAGGGTAGAGCCGATGGACGTCTACTACGGCCTTGTGTACGTCAGTACGAGCGAGCAGGACAGAAAGATACGAGAGCCGTATAGCGTAGTAAGGACAGTAGTAAGGTAAGGAGGAGCCCCACCGCATTCAAATGCCCTCGGCTCTGTGGGCCAAAGTACGAGGGCGCCCTAACCCAAAGCCAAACCACGACTGGGCCAAGTGTGAAACCTGCCCCCTGCCTGGCCCTCCCCGTCCCCCTCTCCCGTACTCCCGACAGGAAACCAACTCCCACACACATCGCACCCTAGATCGCACCTGGGTACCCGAGAGGCGGAGAACCGCCCCAACGATGCAGACAGAGTGAACCTGTCCGTCTCATATGTATTGTTTACGTTTCTAGGTAAAAGGGCGGTGGTGGGGCAACGAAACTGGGGCAACCAAAACTCGCTGGGGACACCTCTCTCGCCACCAAAAGGTGCGATCGTCGGCGGACCACTAAGGCTTTAGCCGAAAGAGTTCCGCCGGCAGCATGCTCGCCTGTGGGATCAGCCTCACCTTGACGGCGACTGGGTTCGGCACGCACGGTGGCGCTGCGCCGGCCGGCGTCAGCCCGGCGATGCGCAACACAGCGCAATCGTTCTGCGAGCGCACCGACAGGTCAACCCCGCCGGAAGTGAATTGCAAGTTGGTCTTCTCTGAGGTCACATTCAGCACAGCAAATGCTGAGGGTCCGATGACGTTCAAAACACGAGGTTACAATGCGGACTCTCCCCTCGGCCCAACGATCCGCGTCAAACCCGGGGATCTGCTCAAGGTCGCGAGGGTCGCCCCCCTTGCCCCACATCACATCTTGTGCGTGTGGAGAACCTTACGTAACCTACCCTTACCTAGGTTGAGCTCTTCAATGAGCTAACTGACATGACCATTGGCTCCCTCTCTGGCGGCACCATCGGTATCCACAACTACCAGCACGACTATCTGATCACCAACCTGCACCTGCACGGCCTCCACATCTCGGGCGAGGCCAAGAGCGACAACATCTTTGTGATGGTACGGTCCGGTCGCAGCTTTGGCTACGAGTACATGATCCCACCTGATCACATGGGCGGCACCCATTGGTGCGATCCTTCCCTCTCCCTCGTTCATATCACACACCGAGCTCTCGAGATCAAGCAGAGCTGCGCGCGCTCCTGCCTCCTGCGAGTTGCAGCGTCGCTCGTTACTTCTGGAGGTGGACGTTGCTTGTGCCGCAGGTACCACCCTCACTGGCACGGCGCGACGGGCATTCAGTCGGGAGGGGGAGCCGTCGGCATGCTTGTTGTCGAGGACGCTCCAGGCACTCTGCCGAGCTTCCTCGAGAACACTGCCGGCTCGACGGACAAGGAGCTCGAGCTCTTCATCCTTGGCATGGATCTGGACAATGTCCGCTCCATTTCGGACGGGTACCTCAACTGCTGCAAGGGCTACCACAACGCCTCCATTCCATTCGTGGACCTGAAGGCGGCGGGATACTGCCAGGCAAAATTCGGCGGCGACCAGCCGCACCTGAACCCCGAGAAGCGCGCGAATGACCTCTCAAAGATGGCAGACAAGGTACCGTAGTTCTGTTTTTTTGTATGTACCCGTCGGCCGTCGCTTGAAAGAACTCCGAGACCGAGTTGAGAGCAAGTCGTAGACTAGAGTGTAGAGAGAGAAACAGAGGGTGCGATCTGCTGCTACGGCTATAGGGGAAACCCGGAGCGCGGTACCATCCCTCGGAGACCCGTGTTATGGCCCTGCGACCGCGCGTCCCCCAGGGCTAGGGCTCTCTTGCCAACCCGATCCCAAACCCAATCCGCAATCGTCTGGCCAGCGTCTGCGGCTAACTGGGTGCGCTTCTTAGCTCCCCGGTCAGCCGGTCCTGGGCGTGCGCGGCTGATGACTCTAGACTGCACTCCTCAAGTTTGCTCCAAGTGCTACAAGGGGTTAGAGTGCAGTATCAAGACACGATACCGCCATGTACAAAGCCGTACAGACGTCTGTACGTATAGGTGCATGCTTGCCGAACATGCCGTGGCCCTGTGCCTGTCGAGCCCGCCCCCCGCCCCGGAAGCCCGGTGTCTGCACAAGCCACAAAGACGGCGTGCAGCGCGTCTGGCGACTGGCCGAGCGTCGGCGACGTCCCCGCGTGGGCTGAACGGGAAATAAACAGTTTACAGCATGGCGCGCGCTCTGCCCGGGCCCCGACCAGCTAGGAGAGCCGCGACCAGAGCAGAGCGCGACCAGGCGAGCGAGCTCATGTGCGGGCCGAGGAAGATGCATCTCGCTGCTCCCCCTGCTCGTCGCGCTGCAGGACGAGGAACAGGTGGATCTCGGACTCCAGCGTGCCGGCCTCTTCGCTCGAGATGCAGCCGATCTGGACGGCGGCCAGGCACCCGTGCTCCGGCAGCGAGAGCTGGTCGAAGAGGACGCGGTAGTCAGGCCGGCCATCCGCCGGCTCGTCAAACTCGGCGCGGTCGGGCAGCGCCAGCAGGGCGCGCGCGCCAGGGCTGCGTCGGAGGAGCGAGGCGAGGGTGGCCGCGAGGGCGGGCACCGCGGCCTCGTCGTAGACCAGATCGGCGCCTACGCGCTCAGGGAGAGACTTCACGGCAACCGGCCTCTGCTGGGGCGGGCATCGGCTCGCGGCGAGCGCAGGCCGACGATCAGGTCCCACCGCTGCGACGCCGCCCAGGCGGGAAGAGGCGTGCCCCACTCCAGGGCGCGCGCTTCGACTGTGCAGCCGCTGCGCCGGTCCAAATTGGAACTGATGTTGTGCTGCAGCAGCGGCAGCTGCAGAGGCAGGTCGGTCAGCGTAGCACGTGCGGCGCCAGCTTTGGACAGCGCTATGCCGAAAAGGCCGAGCCCCGCCCCTAGCTCTAGCACCGCGCAGTCCTTGAAGAGACAGCGGCGCTCCTCAGTGGCGATAATCCACGGAAATGCAGCGGTGGACGCTGCCCAGAGCGAAGCGCCGCATGTGCCGCCCCACGAGCCGTTTACGTCGGAGAGAATGCGCACAACAACATCTCCGCTGTCGCTGAGCGGGAACTCGTGCACGAGGCCCATCGCTGAGCGGCTGGCTACGGTTTTTTTGCTGAGCAGTGGCGGATGGGTGGAGATCGGCGCCCTCCAGCAGAGTGGCCTTTATGTTATACCAAAAGGAGGGCTACACGACGCCCTCTAGCTGGGATGCGGCGTCGTGATGAATAACGCGCCAGAAGAGTCGAGCTCGGAAGAAAGGATTCTCGTTGCCGGGGGTGAGGATCCAGGCGCAGTTGCAGAGAGAGAGATTTTTAGCAATACCAAACAACTCTAACACTCACACGTAATTTGGGGCCTGGAGCCCTGTTCACGCGCGCGCGAGACGTGCAGTTCAGTTGCATGCGTAACCAGCAGGGAGCGCCGCGGCAGCGGCGAGGATTGGAAGGCCCGCCATCTTACAGACTAAGGTGTTTTGCGGCCGAGTAAGGTACAGGTCGCCAGCTGATACGCCGGGCCCAAATGCGCGTTTTTTCGGCGCGCTGGGTGGGGAGAGGCCGCGCCCTTCTTGTGCCAGTGTGCTGTTTCGCTGTGTTAATCTGGAGGATTTTTCTTTCGCCCGGAGGGTATGAATCGCGCCAAGAATCGCGCCAAGGAAGGGCCCGCCGCCGCGCATAAATCGCCGGTGGCGACAGCCGGCAGCGCCGGTGGCGACAGCCGGCAGCAGCGGACCAATGGCCGCCTCATCCAAAGACGGCGCTGTGGTCGTAAAGATCCCGACCGTCCCACGTCCACGCGCAGAGTACATCGCAGCCAAAAAGCGGCTCAGCAAGCAGAGCAGGGCGAAGTCCGCCTCGCCGAGCGGTGGGAGCTCGAGCGCTGCTGCGCCGTCCTCGCGCTTCTTCTGCGAGTGGGCCTTCATCTGCTGGGCCCTGCCGCTGAGCGCGCTGGGCGGCTTCGTCCTCTACCTCGTCGCCATACCGCTGCTGGCGGCGGCCGGCCTCTTCGCGTTGCCCGCTCTCTGCTTTGCGTCCCTGTACATCTCCCACTTCATGCCGCTGCACGACTGGGCGGAGAAGATCCCGGTCCTTTTCATCAAGTACTTCAACTTTGAGCGCTCGCTCTGGCCGCAGCCGCGCTTCGAGGCGATGAACTCGAGCCGCACGAGCGTGAGCGTGCTGCTGGGCGAGAGGTACCAGCTGCAGCCCCGCCGCGTGCTCGACAAGTGCAACGTGGACTACTCCATCCCAGCCTCGCGCGGCCGGGTCGTCGCGCTGCCGCTGCTGTCCGACGCCGAGTACGTCAACCTGCGCGCGCTGCGGCTCGGCGTGTGGAAGGGCCTCGGCACGGCGATGGTCGAGGCCACCCTCTCTCTGATGCGCTGGATGCCAGACACCTCGCTCGCGCCGGGAGGCTACCTGCGCAGGTACGGCGACGCGATTCGCTTCGGCGAGGGCGAGAGCGCGGTCGACTTTGCGATGGCGGTGCTCGGCGACTCGTACCCGACCTTTCCCGACGAGTGGGTCCTCGCCTCTGCCCTCGGAGGCGGACGACGCGGTGTGTGAGCGGCTGCCACCTCACTGGCGGAGGTGTGACCAGGCGGACCGCACCTCGGACGAGGCCCTCACGCGGATGTGCCTGCACGGCCTCGGCCCGCACCGCCTCGAGCGGACCGGACGCGGCTACGTCGTCAAGACGAACGCGCTGGCCAGCTTCGACGTCGCCGAGGGCTTCGAGCGGTACGGCGGTGACGTGCACCTCGACGAGCAGTTCCGGCCGGTTCGGATCGTGCGGCTCGAGAAGAGTGAGGGCGGCCGCGGCGGCCTTGTCGAGGTGGAGTACCTGCCTGGCTGCGAGGGGTGGGAGTACGTAAAGTACTGCTTCCGCTGCTCGCTCTTCACTCTGGCGACGACCGCTTGGAGCACACACTGCACGTTGCCGCCCGCGGGTCTCTGCACACCTCCCGCTGTGAGTAGGTGACGATCGTGGACCACTTGTACGGCGTCCATTTACAGTGGGCGAACGGGATGGTGGTGGCGTGCCGCGAGCAGCTCGGCGCAGACCACCCTGTCCGCCGCTTCCTGACGCCGTACTATTTTGGCACCATCCAAGTCCGCCAGCGGCGAGGGCGCCGCGCACAGACGGAGGAGGGGCGCCAAAGCCACCGCGCTGATCGAGAGTAGGTGAACCACATCGCGCGCCACTTGCTGATCGCGCAGGGCTCGCTCGGCGCGCGCAATTTTGCCTTCTCGGACGAGGGGTTGCGCGCCGCGTGGCAGGCGGTGCCCGAGGTGATGGTGGACGGCGCAGAGCTGCGAGGCGGGGGGTGTAGCCGAGATGTGGTGGCCGAGGGGCGGAGAGATAGATGGATAGATATATAGCCGGGATGTGTTGGCCGAGGGGCGGAGAGATCGCGAACCCGCCGCCGCCGCGCGCAGCAGCGCCGGAGCCTCGCCCGACCCCGCCCTTCGCCCTCGGCAGGCGAGCTGGGCGACGCCGAGCTGCTGCGCCTCCTCTTCGGCGTGCCAGAGTACTGCGCGCGGCGGGAGGGCGAGCTGGGGCTGCGGCTGCCGTACTACGAGCAGGCCGAGGCGTACTGGCGCGTGGTGCACCGGCTAGTCTCCGACTACTTCGACCTCTGGTTCCCCACGCCCGAGGAGGCGGCAGCCGACGCCGAGCTGCGCTGCTGGCTCGAGGCGCTCGTCGGCGAGCTCGTGCACACCGCGCCGCTGCTGCCCGCGCTGCGCGGGTTCCTGCGTCGGGCGCCTGGCCGTCTATCGGATCGAGCAGGCAGCACATGTACGCCCACTCGCGTGGCGATAGGCTGGGGCAGGCGGAGATGCGCGCCTTCGCCATCGACGCCGTCACGCGGTGTGTGTTCGAGGTCACCGCGCACCACGAGCACTACGGCGGCGTCGCCGTCTACGCGCAGGATGTGCGCTTCTGCTCCTTTGCGTGGCCGGTCGGCGAGCAGTGCGGCACAAAGATCACCGCCGTCACGCAGGTGGCCCGCGACACGCCTCGACACGCGCCCACATGCTGCCCCCGGCACCACTTCTTGCTGCCACCACCCCCGTCGCAGCCCCCCCCCCCCCCCCCCACACCACCACCACCCCCGCGCGCGCGCTAGGCGACTCTCATGGCAGCCACCTCCTTCCCCATGCCCCCGCTGCTCAATCGGAAGCCCGGCCTCGACGCCTTCTCGCTCGACAGCTTCTTGCGCGCCCCGAGCGACGAGGCGATGCCGCGGCTCGAGGAGGCGTGCCGGCGCTTCGAGGAAGGCACGCTCTCGCTGGTGCGCCGGTGCGACGAGTTTGTGGCGCAGGCGGACCGCCGCCCCGCCCCCTGGAATCACGGCCTGTGGTCCTTCAACCCGAGGTACTTTGAGGCGTCGGTCAGCGTGTGAGCGGCGGCGAGCAGAGAATGCATGGCGCGTGCGCAGCCGTCTCCTATTTCCTCCGCGAGATCATCGCCTTTTATTGTCCCCTACGTGCACCATCACGGAAGCAGAATGTGCATGCCGGTATGTGGTCTGAGAGAAAGCTAGTCAGGTAGAGTAGTAGCTGTGAGTTGCGCGAGCTCTGACCTCTGTGAGCTGGCAAGAGGTCGGCCACGTCGGTTTAGTAATAGTATCCACCGCGAGAAGGTGTACATACGTCAGTAGTTTTGTTATCCGCTCTTATCCCCTCTTGCCTAGATTTGCGAAAACACGTGCGCTTGAGTAGCACGCAACCCGCTCTACACGAGGCACCTAGATCGTTTGAAGCACCGACAGCCGACGGTGCGTGCGAGCTATGATGTATGAATCGCTCTCCAAGAGCGTGCCGCCGCGAGTCAGTGCGAGGCGGACCCGGTCTCCCAGCGGGCCTCGTCGAGGAGGCGGTTGTACCAGCGCGAGATGCGCAGGATGGTCACCGACAGCCCCGCCGAGTAGAGGGCGAAGAGCCACATCCCCGACGCAGCGACCACCCCGAGCGCGGCGGAGACCCACACCGCACACGCCGTCGTGACGCCGCGCACGGGGCTCTTCCCGCCCCCCTTTGCGATGACGCCGGCGCCGATGAAGCCGACGCCGGTGCAGATCTGCGCCGCGGCGCGCACCGAGTCGCCGCCTTCGATCCCGAAGATGGAGGCGAGCGTGTAGAGCGCCGAGCCTGCGGCACCAGTGTCGGCGAGGCGTGATCCACCACACGCCGCGCCGGCCGGTGTCCATTCGCGGCGCTGCTGTGTGCTGGCCTCTCTACCTGCTACTTCCGTGGAGGCGGTAGTGTGCTCTCGGCATCTAGCAGCTCTCCAGCGGACACGAGGGTCATCGAGCGGAGCCCTGCGGGGCGGGACAGCTCGCGGCTCCCTTCGCCCGAGGCAGTGCCCGCCTACGTTGTCACCAAGGTCCGCGGTGCCGTGCCGTGTGTCCAGAGCACTGCTTGAAGACGCCGGCATGGCAGCGGAACTCGGCCCGAGTGCGAGCCCTCTCGAGCGCCAGTGGAAAGGCGCGGGTCTGTATCCCGCATCTAGGGCGGCGAGCAGTCATCTCGCGCTCGAGTCCGATCACCGCGCCGCACGCGGTCGCCACCAGCAGCCGCGCCGCAACCACGCGCAGCGTCTCCAGCTGTGCGCTCACAAGCGCGAGCGCGGCGCTCGCCTGAGGCCGGCTGACTGCGGCGGGCAGCGGCAGGAAGCCGGCGAGCGCGGCGAGCGCCCACGGCCAGCTCCAGAGCAGCAGCATGAGAAGCACGGCGCGGAGGCCGGGCTGCCTCGCGGGCGTCTCGTCCTCGTCGCCCGTCGCTGCGATTGCTCGGATCCGCTCGTCAATCAGCCGCTCGAGCAGCTTGAGCCGCTCGTCGGGCGGCGCTGCAAGGTCGGTCGGCACGCCGCTCGAAGGGCCGAGCGCGCCTCCTGGCTCGGCGGGAGGGTCGTCCGGCAACGCTGCGGCGATGGCGGTGCTCCTCCGGAGGCGAGGTGCGGCCGGCTGAGGCAGCCGCTCGGCAACGCAGCTCCACGGTGATGGGGCGAGGCGAACGCAGTGGGCGGAGACCGGCCGCGCGAGCGAGAGAGCAAGCAGCGCGGCGGTGAGGGGCCGCGTGGCGGTCATGCGGCTGACAGCGGCGGCGGCGGCGGCGGCGAGCCGGGTACCCCGGGTATAGGGGGCGCCAGCACGCAGATATTCGTTTCTCGCGGGCCTGGAGAGAGAGAGAGAGAGAGAGAGAGAGACGCCAATGGCCGTTATCCGTTAGTGCGGACGTCGCCGCGGCTCGCCTCTGCCGCGGCAAAACCGCCAATGGCCGTTATCCGTTAGTTAGTGCGGACGTCGCCGCGGCTCGCCTCTGCCGCGGCGGCTGCTGCGCGCACGCGGCGGCGCCGCTCTCTCGCGAGACGGCTGGCGACGCGGCTCGCCGCCGACGTACGGTGCGCTCGTCCGACGGTCCGCAGCGTGGCGTGCGCGGCGCTGAGCGCCGCTCTGCGAGCGCCTCTGCGCCTGCACTGCCTGTCTCTGTTGCTGTTGGTGGTGGTGGTGCTGCTGCTGCTGGTGCCGATGCTGCTGCTGGCGCGGCGCGGCTGTGCGACTGGGCTCGACGCGCGCGTCGCGAGCGTCTGACGCGGCGGGCGGCGTCGGGCAGGTGCGCTTCTCTCTCGGGTGGTGGTGGTGGTGGTGCTGCTGCTGCTGGTGGTGCAGATGCTGCTGCTGGTGCGGCGCGGCTCTCCGACGCGACTCGATGCGCGCGTCACGGCTATCTGACGCGGCGGGCGGCGTCGCGGGCGGCAGCGGTGGCGGCTCGCGGGTGGAGGTGGAGGCTGGTGGCTGTGGTGGACTTTGAGTTTATTTCATGGTCGTGTACGGGGACCGGGGGGTCAACCGGGAGGCAGGGGGTTCAACCAGGCGACGGAGGACCGTGGGCCATCGCGGGGACCACTCAGCCCGGAGGGCGCGGTGGAAAGATCCGGATGGTCTTCACGCCGGTGGGAGGCACCGAGGCGTCTTGGACGCTCAGCTCTACCTTAAGCTCCTGAGGGGCGCGTGGTTGTAACCACGTAGTATGACTACAACCCACCACAGACACCCTCCCCCACTCCTCACGTGTGTTCACACCCTCACCCTCTCCTCTCTCCTCTCTCTCTCTCTCTCTCTCCTCTCTCTCCTCTTGTCTGTGCTGTCTGCCTGACTCAGGCACTCAATCTGCCGATGCGTGATTGTGTGTGGGCTGCTCCGAGGGGGCCCTCTGTGCGATCCGACGGGTAGGGGGGCTGTGCCCGGGCGGTGTCCGGTGTGGAGTCCCCTTCTGATCCCGCCTGGGATGTTGGGTGTGAGGTTGTGGCGGCTTCGATCCCAAGGGGGGGAGCTGATCCCACTCAATAACCAACTCTCAGGGGCAGTAGGTGGGCGAGCTTCAGGCACGCTCATCTCGATCGTCAAGACGTTGCTACGCGCGGTCTTCCGCGGGGGGAGCTGCGTCGACGGGTGCGGGACCGCGGCGCAGCCAGTGCCGTGGCGATGCCTCCGGCTGTTTGCGGCGGGCGGCTTGCTGCTCGCTGCGATGGCGAAAAACTCGTCTCGCCACACGCCAAGGGCTTATGCTCTGGCGAGACGTGAGGCGCATGCGCCCAGGAGGGGAGGGGGCATGTGTAACGACACTGCTAGAGATGCCTTTCGGGGCCCAGAGATAAAACTTCTGTGATGCCATGCGTGACCTAGTAGTGTCCCCAGCTATGGGCGTGTCCACGTTGGAGCCAGGTGTGGTGTGGGCGCGAGAATAGCTCCGCCGTTCATGGAGGCAACCGATGCGAGTCGACTGGTGTGTGTCGTCGTGGTTTCGTATCAAGAATTCTCTCTCTCTCTCGCGGGCCTGGGTCGGTGTCCAGTCCGATGGTGTTTGTGGGCAAGGAGATACATGCAACTTCGCAACGTAGATCTAAACTGCAAGCCGGCGGGCGCATGAACGCATATGCTCCGGTTTATGCTACTTCCTGCGACCGCGTGGTCCGGGGGAGGGCCGCCGCCTCGTGTGACCGACATCGCCGAGCTACGCGCTGCACTTGCCGACACCTTGGTAGAGACGATCGTCCTCGCGTCGGGCGTCTATGAAGACGAATCCCTGATGAACGCGGAGCCGCTCGTCAATATCCCAGATGAGCGGAGCATCACGCTCCGTGCTGAAAAAGTGGGCAGTGTTACTCTCTCGGGCATGTACAAGAACAGCGTCTTACGTATCGGTAACGGGACAAGGTGCGCATGTGATTCGCCACCTCACATGCCTCCCTTTCCTGACGCCCCCATGGGCCCTGTTCAGGGTGCGCCTCGAGGGCCTCATCATCGGCAACGCAAGCCTCCAGGGCGCGGGCTCGGGCGCGTGCATCCGGGCCGTGGGCACCAAGGCGCTCACGCTCGTCGACTGCACCGTCCGTTGGTGCGTAACGTGGGGCGGCGATCGCTTTCGCGGGCACCACGAGAATGGCGGCGGCCCAGCCATCTTTCATGTGGCGAAGCGGACAGGGCCGACTTGGGGCGACGCCCGCCAGCCTGGCCCGTGCATTCTCGAAGACAACTGCCCTTGGCCCTTCTCCCCGCCCTACGAGATGTACGCCGACGAGTCTATGCGCCTCGAGCTGCGCAACTGCACCATCAGCAACAACTTTGCTGGGGGAATGAGCAAATACTCGGGCACACGGCTGAGCGGCGCGCTTCTCGCCGCGAGCCGGCTGAGCATGTACGACACGAGGCTCATAAATAACTTCATCGGCAACCAGCGGGGTGACGCGGGCGCGCTGTGGACCAACCTGCCGCTGCACATGGAGCGCTGCACCGTAGAGGGCAGACGAGAGGGGGGGGGGGGGGGGGGGGCTTCGCCACAGACGGTCCTGCGCCTCGCCGCTATGACGGGCGCACGACCGCGGCTCGTGTGCGTGTACCCGTCTTTGTCCCGAGTGAAAAGTCCAACGCGCTCGTCGGTGGCGGCTTCCCCCAACCTGCGCCGCGCTCGGTGAACCTCGACAGCGCTTTCGGTGGCATGCAGCTCTTTGCGACAGAAGCCTGGAGAGCAGCTCCTCTGTTGCTCACACACTCTGCACAGTTGACACAGAACCTGGTTTGTGGAGCTCCCGCAGATTACCTAGAGAGCACGGCATTCGGGGCCATGATGTCGGTTCCCCACCGGACTTTTTTTGTAGTGGAGAGAATTAAGAAATCTTTCTGCTGTAACCGACACTGATATCGCTCTCCTTTAATCAGACCAGATGGTGAATCTTAACTGTAAATTACCGTCAAAAAGCTGTCAGAACGGCTGTCAGAACACTGTCAGAACGCTGTCAGAACGCTGTCAGAACGCTGTCAGAACGCTGTCAGAACACTTTTGTGGGTAGGGTACTGTCAGAACGTTGCCAGCACTGCCCGAGAGCGGGCGAAGTGTGAACATCTGCAAGACGGCTGGTGCGAGCGCCACCGCCTCGCCGATCGCCCCCTGTCAGAACGTTGTCAGAACGTTGTCAGAACACTTTCAGAACGCTGTCAGGGAACGCTGTCAGAACGGCCAGGTCTCTGTCAGAACATCTGCCGGAGCTCCACAAACCAGGTTACAGCCTACTGTGCGGCTGCCACAGCTGTGACAGCGATGGGCTCGCCCTCACTGGCCCTCAGTCACTTGTGCTGCGGCTTGTGTGAGCGACACTGCTCGGCGACTGCCGGCACACTGTGTCGCTGTGAGACCACGGCGTGAGGTCAAACCACGCTACCAGCGCTTGGTCACATCGGCCCCGAGGTCAGATTCTTCTACTCTGTTGATGACAAGACTTGTCTACCGGCTGGAGCCGAGCAGGAGGGCCCGGCGCACAACCCCCTGGTCAACTCACCCTCCAGCTCCACACCCGCGCGGGCACCCCGTACGAAGTCGAAGAGATCAAGCTTCAAGGGCATAGAGCTCTAGAGAGAATAACGAGAGGGAGGTAGAACGCGGCCCGGGAACCGGCAACAGTAACCAATAAGCCATGTCCTGTACCGTGTACATCCTCCCACAACCGAGAGCAACACACATTAACTGCATGGACTTGGGTGGTGGGTGCCCCAAGCCCCAAGCCCTAAGTCCTACTCCTCTACCGACATTGCCCCTCGCTCTACAGCCGCTTGGACTCAGCCGCCGAATAGGGTTTGCAGCTCGCCGTCGGTCAGCCTCGGGCCGCCTCGCCGCCGCCCCCCGCCCGCTCCCGGCCCACCCTCGTCCTCGTCGCCGAGGGTGGCGGCCGCGATCTGGCGCTTCTTCTCCTGCAGCGCGAGGATCCGCTCCTCGACTGTGCCGGTGATTGAGAGGCGGACCACGCGGACAGGGCGGTGCTGGCCGATCCGGTGGGCGCGGTCGACTGCCTGCGGGGGAGAGGGCGGGGAGAGAGCGGGGGAGAGAGCGGGGGAGAGAGCGGGGCGGGCGAGAGAGTGTGGTCGATCCCTAGCGAGACGCCGTAGTCGAGTTGCCGTAGAGGCGTGGTTGGTGTATGTGCGGGGCGCCGATGCGGGGCGGTGGGGCGGCGCGCCTGCTCCTCTGCGAACGGGTTCCACCACGGCTCGCACAGCACCACCGCGGTCGCCTCGGTCAGGTTGAGGGAGATGTGAGGGAGATGTGAGGGAGATACGGGGGGAGATACGGGGGGAGATACGGGGGAGATATGGTCGCCTCGGTCAGGTTGAGTTAATTAATAGCTAATTAATAGCTAATTAACAGTTAATTAACAGTTAATTAACAGTCGCCTCGGTCAGGTTGAGCCCGACGCCGCACTTGAGCGACATGAGCAGCACCTGCAGACAAGCCCCCGCGAGGGGTCAGAGACGGCCCCAGGCCCCCGCCGCGCCCGAGCGACAATAGCAGGCACCGGCGGGCCACCCGGCGCACGAAACGAGTCGATCTGCCGCTCGCGCTCCGCCATCGACTGGCCGCCGTCCACGCGCGCAGTGCCGAAGCCGCCTCTGCGGAGCAGCGGCTGCAGCAGGTCCAGGAAGGTGGTGTAGGAGGAGAAGACGAGGGCCTGCGTGGACTCGCAACGCGTGGCTTGGTCGGCAGGAGGGAGGCGGCGCAGGGCGAGAAGAGGCGAGCGCCTTTGCGGTCGGGTCCTGCTCGCGCATCCGCCGCACCTCCTCCAGGCACAGCATCATCTTTGTCGACGCCTATACTTAACAGCTCATCAATAGTGAATTAACAGCTAGTTAATGGAGAGCAGCAGCATCTTTGCCTACAACGGACGGCTACTGAGAAGGGTCGAGGAAGGCCCGCGCCGCCTCAAACACGGGCAGGTCTTCGCGGGGGTCGCCTAGCAGCCGACATGCAGAGGGCGTGTGGCTTGGCGGTGGGGCATGTCTCCCCCTCCTCCCCCTCCTCCTCCACTCGCGAGGACGCGTCGGCAACATCTCGGCTACATCTCGGCTGTATCTCCACTCGCGAGGACGCGTCTCGGCGCCTCGGACGATTCCGGGCCGGTGGCAGCCTCGGCCTCCTCCTCGCCTTGCCCGAGAGCGAGCGCCATCTGCCTCGCCGCGTCGGCAAAGGGGGGAAGCTTGCGGAGCGGGAAGAGGGCGTCGGCGCGGAGAGGCTCGCGGCAGAGCGGGCACGCCTGCTCGCCGCCAGAGGTGTGAAGAGACGCTGTTCACAGCTTGGCCAGGCGGCAGGGCGGCAGGGCGATCAGCTCCGTGCCGGTCCACACAGTCCGCAAGCCTGGGCGCGGCAGGGCGGCAGGGCGGCAGGGCGGTGCGCGCCGTCTCCTCGACGGCGTGCGCGCGCAGCTCTCGGAGGCACTCGTCGCAGTAGGCGTGGGCGCAGTGGGTGAGCGTGCACGTGTCCACCTGCAGCCCCTCCATGCAGATCGGGCAGTCGTCCTAATTCGTATCCAGTCATTGCACTTTGCCTTTCGCCACGATGAACTTTCAATCTGCAGTGTCGGGGAAACCTCCTGCCCCACCCGCTCGCCGCCGCCCTCCGCCATCGCAGCGGCACGAGCGATCACCGGCGGCGGCGGCGGAGGAGCGGAGGCAGCCTCGTCCTGTGCGAAGGCCGCCGAGGCCAGCTGCGGCGAGTTGGCCGCCTGGCGCAGCTAGCCGAGATTAGCCGAGATATAGCCGAGATATAGCCGAGATGCGGCCGAGGTATGGCCAGCTGCGGCCAACGTTGGCTGCCTGGCGCAGCCGGCAGAGCAGCGAGAGGACGCACATGTAGTTTGCCTGCTCGCCGCTGCAGGTGTGAAGAGGCGTGCTCGCAGAGCAGGCAGGGGATGCACGTGGCAGTCTTCCTGCACGGCGCCTCGCCGCAGGAAGCGGTTGAAGATGACCTGCGCCTTGCTCTCCAGCGCGGCGTACACCTCCGCCTACCCAGCAACAGTGCATCGCGATGAGCGACGCACTCACCTCTCCCTCCGGCGCACCGTACACCCTCCGCCTCGTCGGGCGAGCGGAAGGGCGAGGCGCGCCGCGCGCAGAGCTTCGGCGGCAGCGAGAGGATCGGCTCGCCGTTGAAGGAGTCCGCCTTGCGTTAATTAATAGTTAGTCAGTAGTGAACTAACAGCTAATTCATAGTTCTGGCCGTTGAAGGAGTCGGCCTTGCGTTAATTAACAGTTAATTAGTAGTGAACTAACAGCCAATTCATAGTTCTGGCCGTTGAAGGAGTCGGCCTTGCGCCGGCGCAGCATCAGCGAGTCGAGCAGCGCGCGCAACCCGTCGGGGTGGCGGGCGAGTGTCTTGTACGCCGCGAGCGTCTCGCCGTACTTTGGCAGCCGCAGGAAGCGGAGGAGGGCGAAGAGGTCGTCGGGCGAGTTTTGGATGGGCGTGCCGGTCAGGCACCTGGTGGAGATACGGGGAGATATGGGGCGTGCCGGTCAGGCACCTGGTGGAGATACGGGGAGATGTGGGGGAGATGTGAGGGAGATATGGGGCGTGCCGGTCAGGCACCTGGTGGAGATACGGGGAGATGTGAGGGAGATGTGAGGGAGATGTGAGGGAGATGTGAGGGAGATGTGAGGGAGATGTGAGGGAGATGTGAGGGAGATGTGAGGGAGATGTGAGGGAGATGTGAGGGAGATGTGAGGGAGATGTGAGGGAGATGTGAGGGAGATGTGAGGGAGATGTGAGGGAGATGTGAGGGAGATGTGAGGGAGATGTGAGGGAGATATGGGTGCGCCGATCAGACCTCTCGTGGCAGAGACTTGAAGACCCCCAGTTTGTGCTATGTCTCGGCTGCATCTCGGTTGTATCTCGGCTGTATCTCTGCTATCTCGGCACCAGCGGTTGTAGGCGGAGAGCTCTGCGCAGGCTCGCGACGTGGCGGCCGCGGGGTTGCGTATCGTGTGCGCCTTGTCGAGGGGTATAGCCGAGATATAGCCGAGATCTAGCCGAGATGTAGCCGAGATCTAGCCGAGATATAGCCGAGATGTAGCCGAGATGTAGCCGAGATGTAGCCGAGATATAGCCGAGATGTAGCCGAGATGTAGCCGAGATGTAGCCGAGATGTAGCCGAGATCTAGCCGAGATCCAGCCGAGATCCAGCCGAGATAGCGCCGAGATGTAGCCGAGATGCAGCCGAGATGTAGCCGAGATATAGCCGAGATATAGCCGAGATGTAGCCGAGATGTAGCCGAGATGTAGCCGAGATCCAGCCGAGAAAGCGCCTCGTCGAGTGCCACTCTCCACCAGCGGAGTGAGAAGAGCGGTCCGCGCCGTCTGCCATCCAGCGGCGCCTAACACACACTGCCGCCCCTAGCGACGGCGGGCAACGAAGGCCGTCCCGCCGACGGCCGTCCGCCTCGCTGCGCAGCGTCGAATACGTCGTCACGACGACGTCGAAGGCGGCGAGATCAGCCGCCGCCCTCGCGCGGCCCGCGCCGTGATGCAGCAGCACGCGCGGCGCCGCCCCGCCGCCGCAGCGAAGCTTGTGCTCCACCTCGCCGACCCACTGCAGCGCGAGCATCTTTGGGCAGACGACGAGCGTGCCTGCGGGACATGTCTCGGGCATGTCTCGGGCATGTCTCGGGCATGTCTCGGGCATGTCTCGGGCATGTCTCGGGCATGTCTCGGGCATGTCTCGGGCATGTCTCGGACATGTCTCGGGCATGTCTCGGGCATGTCTCGGGCATGTCTCGGGCATGTCTCGGACATGTCTCGGGCATGTCTCGGGCATGTCTCGGACATGTCTCGGGCATGTCTCGGACATGTCTCGGACATGTCTCGGGCATGTCATCTCGTGGGGCATCTTTGGGCAGGCGAGGAGCGTGCCGAGAGGCAGCCGCAGCCCGGAGGGAGGGCAGGAAGAGCGCGAGAGGCCTGTCCGAGAAGGGTCCGGGAAGGGTCCGGGAAGGGTCCGGGAAGGGTCCGGGAAGAAGGGTCCGGAAGAAGGGCGGGCAGGAGGAGGGCGGGCAGGAGGAGGGCGGGAGGAGGGCGGGCGGGAGGAGGGGGGCGTGCCTCCGGGAGGGACGTGCCTCATCTGCATATCTCGGCTAGATCTCGGCTAGATCTCGGCTAGATCTCGGCTAGATCTCGGCTATATCTCGGCTAGATCTCGGCGTGCCTCCGGGAGGGACGTGCCTCATCTGCGGCGGGTGGGCGGCGCAGAGGGCGAGAAGCTGCACCGTCTTGCCCATGCCTTCGCAAGAAGCAAGCGATGGCCTCGTTAAGCGATGGCCGGCTGCAGTACTGCGGTGCTGTGCTGCCTTGCTCGTCCGCGGCACTAGGAAGTGTCTAGGAAGTGTCTAGGAAGTGTCTAGGAAGTGTCTAGGAAGTGTCTAGGAAGTGTCTAGGAAGTTGCCTTGCTCGTCCGCGAGCAGCCCGCCGCAGACGTGGCTCCACGCCCGCCGCTCGCCGGAGGAGGAGGAGGAGGAGGAGGCGGAGGAGGAGGAGGCGGTGGCGGAGGAGGCGGCGGAGGAGGAAGAGGCGGAGGCGGAGGCGGAGGCGGAGGAGGAGGAGGCGGTGGAGGTGGAGGAGGCGGAGGAAGGCGAGGCGCCCTCGCGCTGCAGCAGCCAGGCGAGGCAAGCCCTCTGATAGTCGTACAGCCGCGCGACCTGCAACCCCGCTGGCGCCTCCGCCATCTCGCTCGCCTGTTCACAGCTGGGGGTGTGAACAGCGCCTCTTCACGCCGCGTGCGCCATCTCGCTCGCCGCCTCAAGCTGGCGCGGGACAGAATCGAGCAGCGCCGCGCCGCTGCCTGGTCGCCGCCCGCCGCCGCCGCCTCTGCCGGCGCGCGGCGCCGCGTCGCTCCAGTTCGCGCCGGCGGTGAAGGCGTCCTCCGCCGCCTCCGCCGCCGCCGCAGTCGGCCGCTGCTGCCGCCTCCTCTGGCGGGAAAGGCCTGCGGGCGCGGCCCTTGCGGCGAGGCGGCTGCGCAGGCTGCTGCTCGCGTCGGCCTCGCCGTCGGACGAGTCGGACGACGACGTGAGGCTGATGGTGGCGGCGACACGGCGGGGGGCGGGGCGCGGTAGCGAGGCCGGGCGGGTGGCGTCGACGAAGGGCGACTCCTCTTCCTCACGCGAGGCGGCCTCCTCCTCCTCGCGCTGAAGCCTCGCCGCGAGCCGCGCGTCCGCACACTCCTGCGCGAGACGCGCGTCCGCATCGGCTGCTGTCACGTCCGTCTCTAGCAGCCGCTGCCTCTTGCGCGCCGCTCGGCGCTGCCGACTCGCGTCGCGTCGCGCCAGCCGCTCGCCGGCGGTGCTAGAGAGGCCCGCAGAGTCGAGCGAGGCCTGCAGGACCCATGCGGGTATGACCTCCTCGTCGCTCGACGCGCTGGGCGAGTCAGCCTCGGTGGCGCTGGAGCCCGCCTCGGTGGAGCTGCTCGACTCGGCGATGGTGGAGCCGCTGGACCCGGCAATGGTGGAGCTGGTGGAGCTGCCTGACATATTGTGTATGCATTCAACAGCCAGGGTTTGGGCTCCGATGAGGTAGGGGATCGGTTTGAGCCTGGCGAAACAATAAAGAACTCGCACCGGACTGGCGCACCACTCACAACGAAAAGAAGAAAAGTCGGGCCACCTCCTTTTGAGTGAGTGCCTGCAGCATCGCCCGATCAATGCCAGCGTATTGTCGCTCGTTGCTGTTTCTGGCCGCCTTGACCGTTCCTGCGGCTGCGCACTGCGACGGAGCCGACAGTGCGTGCAGCACCGTTTGGGGCACGGCGGCATGCCATCAGGGGAGCTGCTACCCGTGCGGCGGCCGCATTCAGTGGTTGCAGTCCGCTCGCGGCATGAGTGAGCACGACGCATGCGAATTCGTCGCTGAGGAGATTCCGGAGACATGTGGCCCATGCTTGCCGATGAGCCACAAGATGGGCTATTGGGTAGAGGAGGAGGAGCCGCCGCCGCCGCCGCCGACGGCTCGCCTCCCGCCGCCGGCTCGCATCTCGCGCCCGTCGTCGCTGGGAGGATACCGCCGAGGCCGTTGGGGACCTGCGTCCTGCGGCAGCACTCGCGCCTTCTCGGTCGACGCGCTTTCGTCAGGACGGTGCCTCAGCCTCCGGCAGGGCGCTGATCCCATCACTCCTGCGGGAGGTATCCGCAACATGCGAGAGACGTGCATCGACTCAGCGAGTCAGCGTCGTGTGCTCTTCTTCAACGCAATACCGGACCACGAGATCTCCATACCGCGGGGCCGCTCGTCGCCATGCGCCGCAGCGTACAAGCTGACGCTGCCGCGGCCCGAGTACAAGAGCCGCACCATCGAGATACCCGCAGCTGGGCCGATTGCCTTTGCGCGCAATGGCGTCCCAATCTACTCACCCGTGTGGGCAGCGCACAACAGTTTCCTCTTCGAGGAGCGCGCGTGGGCGGGGCATCCGTACTCCCAGGTGCCGCTCTGGCACTACCATTTCGTTGGCCCGCAGCACCCATTTTGGCGCAACAATGAGACGCAACTGGTGGCGTACGCGCTGGATGGGTTTCCGATTTTCGGACCGACGGCCGCAGCCCTCGACGCGTGCAACGGCCGATTCGTGCGAGGCCAGTATCAGTATCACGTCGTCCAGAGTCCGGCGGAGGTCGACTTGCGGCGGCCGTACTGCGCTGCGGGCAACGCGGTGAATTGGAACTTTGTGCTGGGCTGCTACCACGGCTCCACGAGCTCCACGAGGCTCGAGCGAGACACAGGCTCGAGGATAGGGCTGCAATGCAGCGCCGACGCTGATTACGATGCCCCCAGGCCAGCCGGGATGTGATGTATTGGGGGCGCGACCCCCTCGTGGAGGCTGCGGGCGGGCGCCCACTTATACCGAGAGATCTCAAAACGGGACGGTCCAAAGAGAGGGGAGATCCCCGTGCAGCTGCAGGTAAGGTAAGGTAAGGCGAAGGGAAACGTCTCCACACACAAAAGTGGTGCCTGGGGCAATGAAACGTAAGCGCCCTCCAGTATTGGCGATGGCTGAGACAGCCGCGGCGGCCGCGGGCCGACCCCTGAAACGTGAAAGCAGTGTGGGTGCTGGCCCCTGTCGGTCCCTGTCGGTGTCGCGCCCAGAGTGCATGGTCTCCATGCTGCATGCACCATGGGATGGAGCATGCATGCGAAATGATGAGCTTTTTTATGATTTATGATGAGTATTCGACAAAAAGAGGCATGTGTGTACTGCCGTACGCTCACATCTTGTGTGTGTGGAGCGCCCTAGACAGAACGTGCGCCCCGCCATGCTGGGCCTAGGCGGGCACTGGGGGCGCGCCGCCGCGCTGCGCGCGCAAGCAGCCCCCTCTATGTGCGAGGTAGGACGGAGGCACGACGGCGGTCTCCCCCGCGCGGCAGCGTCAGCAGTAGACGTAGCAGTCCCAGCAGCTGGGCTGCTGGCCGGGAACAGTGTCGCTGCTGCAGCCGCAGGCGACGAAGTTCTCGAGCCGGTCGAGCCATGTCGGGCTGCGGCCGGGGTCTGCTAGCAGCGCTGCCGGGCTTACTCTCAGCGCCCTCGCCTTGGGTGCGTACTCGAGGCAGCCCCCACTATCCGCGTACGAGCGCCTCGCCTCCTCCTGCACCGCGCGCTCAAAGTCCTGCCGCTCCGCAAGCGTCATAGGTCATACGCGGATGCCATACAAAGCTTCGCCTGCGCCGGAGGCGAGAATCGTGACTCACTGCTGCCGGAGGTCAAGGTGCAGCGGCGGTGCGCGCTTGACAGCGCGTCTACGGTATCCCACTAGAGGCTTGGGGACAGTGCTGGCAGGGCACACCGTATGGCGTCGAGGCTCTCGTACGAGCTCGGCCGGGTAAGCTTCATCGGCGAGTTGCTGATGCTGTCGCACCGCGAGATGCCGAGCGCCTCGCGCGAGCCGTCGCTGAGGTGCGAGTGGATGCTGCTGGTGCGGGAGGGGGGCTGCGCCTCACCGAGGGCCAGGACGTCAGCTCGCGGAGTGGTCACGGTCACGGGAGCAGTCACCGCCATCGCTAGATGCGCGAGCTGATGAAGAGACACGTAGACGTCTCCCCGACGTTGCGTTGCCGTGAATGTGAATAGAGGTAAAGGCGGACCCGATGGATGGGCGGACCCTAACTGCACTTACCAAGGACTCGATTGCGAGAGACAGAGGCCTCAGCCAGGCGAGAGGTCCTCAGACAGAGGTCCTCATGAGAGCTCCCCCCCCCCCCCCCGAAGAGACACGTAGACGTCTCCCCGAGCTTTCGAATTTCTTTTTTGAATCGTGTCGTGCGACCGCCTTTTGTTATAAAATTCTTTTTTGCGTGCTTGGATGGTGAAAGAAAGAAGGGACATTTGATAGATAGATTGGGATCTCGGAGATCCCAATCTGTCCGAGGATTAACAAGGAGGCTGAGGTCCTCAGCCAGGCGAGTGATCCTCACATCTGGGACGCAGCCTTCGCACTTACCAAGCTCTCAAAGCAGTTCGCACTTACCAAGCTCACAAATAGTTCTCCAACTCATTACACATACTGTGTTCTTATGTCCTTGTTCACTCTCTGTTTGGGTGTGTCTGGGGGGGCTGGCCACCTTCCGCGGCGTCCCACCGCGTGTGCACCGGCCAAGCGCGGCGCAGCCTCAAGTCAGTCTTTGTCGGATTGCCACTTCAATGTACAATGAGAGGAGGGGGGGGCGAGCTCTCTCCGCTGAGGACCTCTCATGAGGACCTCTGCCTGAGGACCTCCCGAGAGGTCCTCCCGAGAGGTCCTCCCGAGAGGTCCTCACGAGAGGTCCTCACGAGCGGACGTACCACAGCGCCAAAGGCGCGCGCGGCCTCTCCTCCAACACAGAGTTGGCGCGCGGCGCCCAGCACTGACAGGAGCCGAGGAGGCGCCGCAGAGAGATGCTCGCATGAGAAATTGAGAATGAGTGACGGGGGGAATACTCTTCGTTCGCCTGTGCATTCGCTTAGTTCCGATTCGTGTTTGTAGTTAGTCAGTCTCAGGTATGTGTGTGCAGACGCGGTCTCTCGCACTTGCCGACGCTTGTGCCTTCAAAAGAGAGATTTTTCAGCAATACCAAACAACTCTAAAATCACACATCATGTGTAAATAAATAAATAAATACAACGGACATCCCAAGCTAGGGCTGGGTCGAGGACAGACACGTCCCCACCTTTGCAGGATTTTGCAAAAGCGAGGGGGGAGGGCGCATCGCCGCGCGGAGAGGGCTGGGCACAGGGCACAGGGGATCTCTCTCGCATAGGATATGCACTCGGCGGCACGAGGGCAAGGCTGGGCGTCCTATGTTTGTGCTCCCCCCCGGACCCCTCGCTCTCGGGCACTAACCATCTGACCACTCATCGACGGGGCTTGGCGAGCGGCCGCGCTGCGGGGTAGGGCTGGTGAGAATGGGCTCTGGCCACTCGCCCGTGCGGTTGTAACCCCGCATCTGTCGGACAGAGGCCTCGACCGCCCCTCGCGGCAAGCTCTCGAGCATCTCGAGCAGCTCGCCCGCCGCCATCGCCGCCTCGAACTGCTCCCTCATGCCGAGCGCGCCGCATACCCTGCGGACCGCCTCCTGCTGCACCTCGTCCGGCGTATCGGGTGTACACACACACTAGGTAGGTAGGTAGTAAGGTGAAGAACAGCCAGGCTCGGACTGGACACCAACGCGGTATGGGTGGACGCAAGACAGATGATGACGACACGCACGAGCGACACACAGACACAAAAGCTCACAAGACACACAGCCAGCGGGCTGCCACACACCCTGAGTCGGCGTACACATAACTCAAGGCCATATCCTCCCTGTCGCCCCCCCCCAGCACTCCACGGTGCCAAGAGTCCAAACAAGGGCACAACAACACAACAGACAACAGGAAGTGACATGCGAGGCTAGAGCAGGCTTGCTCTACCTCCAGCAATCTCTCCGGCCGGCGAGGCACGGACGAGACCGTGTGTGGGGTCTAAGTGAGGTGTCTATGGACGCTCTCCTCACGGGCTAGCTGCCTGCGGCTAGCCCTATCTCGCTATCACAGGCAATGACAATCAAATGGGTGAGTGTTTGCGAGCTGAGGCGCGTGGGCTAAATCTAGGCCGCACATCGTGGCACTATGACGGAGGTAGACGTGCGGCCGCAGCGCGCCCGCCGCAGGCTCGGCGGTGCGCGCGTGTTAGCGAGAAAGTTGCGGGTAGAGCCATGCCCGACTTTTCGAAGGCGAGGCCTCTGCGACGAGTGCCAGCCGCGCTGCGGAGCCACACCCTTCGAGCCGCGTCCCGTCAGCACTGTCCCCGAGTGGTCCCGCCTCGGCGGCACACACTCTCGACCAGGACAGTCCCGCCAACGGAAACGTGTCGCGCGCCGGCGACGATTGCGGCGTGGTCGTTGTGAAGCGGAGATGGCACGACCACCGCCCTGCTTCGCAGACCGGGCTAGGAGGGGCTGCTCTCGTTCCGCGAGGAACAGGAGGCCTTCCCACTCACACCGGCTTTGAATTCTTTCTTTCGTGCGCGGCCTGCCGCGGACTCTGACGCTGGCGCGGCATGGCATACACGGCGAGCCGGCTCCGCTGGTTCGTCCTCTTCTACTACTCGCTCGCCAACATGAACCAGTGCCTCGCATGGCAGCTTTTCCTAGATGCCACATGATCTCGTGTTCTGTGTTCCTGCCTCTGCACCACAGCCCGAAAATGCCACGTGCTGATTCGCCGCCGGAAGTCTGTGTCGCCGCAGGTTCTCCTTCTCCTCCGTGTCTCGCGAGCACGCGGAGGAGTATTTTGGCCGCCGGCTGACTCAGTCGACCGTGGACCAGCTGCTCAACTGGGGACCCATCATCGGAGTCCTCTGCTTCCACGCGCAGACGACGGTGCTGCAGCGGCCACGCGGGCTGCAGCGCGGCATCTGGTGGGGCCTCGGCCTGCTGCTGGTCGGGAATGTGCTGCGTTGCATCCCGATCGCCGTCACCGAGGCGAGTGGCGGTGCACGGCCGCGATTCGCCGAGAGCGGCGCTCACTACTCCTGTGCGTCCGACACTTCTCGGAACCGTCTCGGAACCGTCTCGGAACCTTCCTGCAGGCGCTGACTTCTCCTTGCGTCCGCCACACGGGCCAAAGGAGCCCTCTCCGAACCTTCTCGGAGCCTTCCTGCAGGCGTTCAATTCTCCTCTATCCGACACTTCTCGGAGCCTTCTCGGAGCCTTCTCGGAACCTTCCTGCAGGCGCCGCCTTTGCAATGTACCACGCCGGCCAGATCCTCATCGCCGCCGCAGGGCTCTGTCTGCATGGGCTCGTCGTCTCACAGCTTCCCTTCCCCTCACCCCGCACCCTCCCGCTTCTCAGGCCCTTCTTCATGGGCTCGGTCACCTATTCACAGCTAGAGGTGTGAAGAGACGCTGTTCACAGGCCCTTCTTCATGGGCTCGGTCACCCGCCTCGCCGTCGTCTGGTGCCGAGATGCGCCGAGACGCGCCGAGATGCACCGGAGCGCACCGCCGCCACTGTGAGCTACAACTGTGAACGGCGTGTTGCCCGCTTTGGGATATTTCAATTGCAGAGGTCGACTCACGCCGCGGCTGTGAGGTTGCAGGTTCCCGCAGAGGGAGCGCACCACCGCCACGGCAATCGCGCAGACCTCCAACGCGCTCGGCACGACAGTCGGGTTCCTCAACCCTCTCTGGCTCGCCCCCTCTCCCGCCGCGATCCCGAACGTGTTTTGGCTCGCGGCCCTAGAAGCGGAATATCTCCCCATATCTCCCCGCATCTCCCCATATCTCCGCTTGAGCCCTAGAAGCGGAAGACGTGTCTGTGTCTCCCAACCCGCGCTCG